TCACTCCCTGTGCATGGACCGTCCAACGGCCAGGGGTACTGGACACACCGTGAAGTCACAATGCCTGGCCTGATGGGAATGCGTCCATGGAATGGGATGTTCCCAGTGAGGACAGCTCTCTTTTCCCTGATGTGCATGTAGGTTGGTGGGTCTGCTCTGGGAAACCATTTTTGAGCCAGGGGGAGAATGCATCTATTCCATCTAGTAACACAAGACAGGGTTCCTTCATCAACCTGAATTCACATAAAAGGCACTTTTCACGCACGGATGGGTCTCTTCAGGTGAGGAATGTGTGTGTCTGTTATGAGGGGCCTCAGAAAGTCTGTGAAAAATGGAATTCAGATACAGAATTTTTCCACTAAGTTTTTTGAAGTCCTCATATGTGTGTATGAGATTTAGGCAGGGGTTGAACTGTGGCTCCACAAAATTATGTCAATCCTAACCTCTCTGCCTGTGGATGTCATCTCCTTTGGAAATGGGCTGGTACATAAACGAGGCAGGAGTTGTGTAGGGCCATCCTGAGTGTATGTCTTTTCCGATAGTTGTAGTTAGGCGCCCTTGAGTTGGTTCTGACTCACTGAAACCCTGGATAGGGTTTCTGAGGAGCAGTTGGTGGGTTTGAACTATGGACCTTGTGGTTTGCAGTCCAGTGCTGATCCTACAGCACCACACCAGGAGATACAAAAGATTAGACAGGCTAGGGGGAGACGCAGAGATGCCAAGCAACATGAAGATCACCCAGAAATAGGAGCTCAGAAGAGACAGAGAAAGTTTTGCCTTCCCCGAAAGCCAAGTCCTGAACTCAGAATCTCACCTTCAACTATGAGTCAAGACTATCCACTTGTGGCCCTTCAGTTATAGCGGCACAGGAACTGAGACCCTGTGTGAGTTTTCAGTCGCTCTTGAGCGATTCTTGATGTGTCCTCAGCTCTTTCTTATCCCCCATTTCCCTTGGGCCTCATCCTCAGAAACCCTGACTCTCTAAACGTGTCTCAGATACTTCAGAGTCTGGTCTCCCACCCCACTTACCCCTCCAGAGGGCTTACTGAATCACATGTCTTATACAGTGGCTCCCAGGATGAAACCCCATCCTGGTTTCAGTCCAGCATGAAGGCTGGTCTCCTACAATGCCACAACTGGACCCAACAGAACAGCTGGGACTCCTAGCAGACAGGGTGGTGGTGGTGGCTGTGTGCCTACAACTTGGTTCCAACTCCTAGCGACCCTGTATAGGGTTTCTGAGGCTGTACATCTTTATGGGAGCAGAAAGCCTCATCTTCTCCTGAGGAGCGGCTGGTAGGTTTGAACTGCTGACTCTGAGGTTAGCAGCCAAACATATCATCTGCTATGCCACCAGGGTAGTCAGTTTTTATTTGCACAAGTATCGATTGCTATTTTCACCTACATTAACTCATTATGAATCATAATCATCCTATAAGAACAGGGTAGAACTGCCCCACAGGGTCTCCGAGACAAAATCTTTATTGATGTAGGCAGTCTCATCTTTCTCCCCTGAAGTGGCTGGTGGGTTTGAACCATCAGCCTTTCAGTTAGCAGGTGAGTGCTTAACCGCTTCTCCACCAGGGCTCCTTTCTGCTACATTAGGGCAACTGGAATAAACAGCAAGTGGGTTTAAAATATAAACTACTGAAATGAATCGAGATGGGGGCCAGGTGGCTCCATATTCTCTTTTGTTAAATGTTAAGAACAGACATTCACTGTTCTAGAGGCTTGTCCCATTCCCAGCCCCCAGCGTTTGTCTGTCTTCTCTCCTGGGGGCAGGTGTCCCGGAGTTGTGCTCGAACAACCCTCTCAGGGGATCCCCAGAGGGGGTGACCCTGCGAATCCCCAATTCTGGCTTTACAGCTTTGCTTGGTCTAAGGACACAGAGGGAGAAACTGAGGAAGGCTAAACAAGAACCTTCCTTGGGCGCCTAAGACAGAGCTGCTGGGCAGGAGTGCATGGTCAGAAGAGCAGCGTCCACCCTCTGCAGACCAGACATTCCCACTCAACAGAAAGGCTGGGCTGGGCCGGGGGGCACACCAACAAACAGCACGATGCAGTGAAACTGCTTTCCGATCCTTCACAGGACTTTTGAAGGTTACTCAGGTTTTCCTATGTCCCCCTGCTGAAAGACACGGGTCCAACTCCCTCACAGGTGAGCAGACTCCAAACCCGTCACTGAAACCCTTCCGCCAAGCTGGCTCCACTGTCTTTCTCTCACACCCTCTGTTTCCAAGTGCAAAGTTGACAGCTCTTGGCTCTCTGGCTTTTCCCAAGACGACTGCTTAACTACTGGAATCAATAGATATTATAACCAACAGGAATGGTTTATTCTTTGGAGCCTTTGAGGACGCAGGTGGCTGATGCACTCGGCTGTTCACTGAAAGGATGGAGGATCAAGTCCACCCAGATGTTCCTCAGAAAGGCCGGCCAACCTACTTCTGGGACATCAGCCCTTGAAAACCCTCAGAGGCTCAATGCGAACCTGACACACACGGTGTCACCAGGAGGTCGAGTTGATCCAACAGTGGCTGCTTTTCTGGACCTTTCCTATGCCTCCACCCCCTGGCTTATGTCTGATATTTATATAAAAACACAGGGAGAGGAATGGGTCAGCAGTGGTCTGTGATTACCACACATCCAGGCTCTGGGGGATCTCAAACAGGAGAGGGTGGGACAGAGAGCAGCAGAAGGAAGAAAGAGGCTGGCCAGTCTTCAGCCAGCTCGCCTGGACAATGCACAGGTCAGCGAGAACCAGGCAGACCCAGGGCCACCCCAGGTTCAGGAATGGGCTTGGCCAGCCTGGCCTGAGACGTCATCATGGCAGGAGGCAGGGCAGCACCCCTTTGAGGCCCAAGTCACCTGGGCAGACAACACCAGAGTCCGTTTACGAGGTACATGCGCAACAAATCCAGGTACCACTGTGGAAGCGAAGGCGGAGTGTGGGTTTAATCCCTCCTCGGTACAGACGCCAATGATAAAGTAGGCAGTTGACAGAGACAGACAGACAGACAGACAGAGAAGAGACTAAAGGCCCATAACTGTCACTGTCACCCTAGTTCGGTGCCTTGAGTCAGTTCCAACTCACAGCGACCCCTGTGCACAACAGAACGAAACACTGCCTGGTCCTGCATCATTCTCACAATCGTAGCTGTGTCTGAACCCACTGTAACAGCCACTGTGCCAATCCATCTTGTTGGGGGTCTTGCTCTTTTTCATGGACCCTCCACTTTACCAAGCACAATGTCCTTCCTTCTCCAGGGACTGGTCCCTCCTGATCACATGTCCAAAGTATGTGAGACAAAGTCTGGCCATTCTGGCTTCTAAGGTGCATTCTGGGTGTACTTCAACAGCTACTAATTATAACATACAAAATGTAAGTCAATTTCCGACGCAACATCTTTCACATGCTAAGAAAAAAAAACCACGGGTCAGGGGTGTCTCCTGCATTCTATGGTAAAAAGGCCATTTCCATTTCTTCATTGTATGAAAGAGGAAAGATTTTTTTTCTTTAACTACAAAACTTACTTTTTAATCATTAAAAAAGAGAAATCAAAGCAGGGAGGTGGATCAGGTTGTCTTTGGATAAGCTGCGAAGAGGCTGACCTGAAAGGCTAACCCAGGAAGGAGCCTCAGGGGTATCTCGCGGTCAGGGCTGGGGGAGAGGAAGGCCATGCAGGTATGGAGCTGAACTGTAAGGCTGCCCACAGACCTGTCGTCAGGACCCCCATCCCAACTCCCCACCCAATACAGGGGCTGGACAGAAACGGCTTCAGGCAGACAGCCGGACGCCAAGCACACTGCCCCACCTCTAGGCTCCTTCTATGGGGACCCTCAGCTGGCATGATTCTATAGACCTGGAGTCAAAGGAAAAACCACAAATCAGGGTCTGCTGAGACGGGGACCCAGGGCTAACTGCCCTCATGGCACCAGAGTCAATAGATATGCTGGCCAGAGGGACCCTCAGTGAGCAGGCTACTGGGCAGCTCAGAAAACTAATAAATACTATTTACAAATGGGGAAGGGGGCAGGAGGAGAACTGGGTGTGTGTGTGTGTGGGGGGGTCCTACAGCACTAGAGGATAGGAGGAGAGCTGGGCGTGGGGGGGGGTCCTACAGCAGTAGGGGTCAGAGGGAGAGCTGGGAGTGGGGCGTGTCCTACAGCAGTAGGGGTCAGAGGGAGAGCTGGGCATGGGGGGGGGGTCCTACAGCAGTAGGGGTCAGAGGAAGAGCTGGGCGTGGGGGGGTCCTATAGCAGTAGGGGACAGGAAGAGAGCTGGGCATTGGGGGGTTCCTATAGCAGTAGGGGACAGGAGGCGAGCTGGGCGTGGGGGGGTGTCCTACAGCAGTAGCAGACAGGAGGCGAGCTGGGCGTGAGGGGGGGGGTCCTACAGCAGTAGTGGACAGGAAGAGAGCAGAGCATAGGGGGTTCCTACAGCAGTAGGGAAGGAGAGCTGGGAGTAGGGGCGGCATCCTATAAGCATTGCACGTGTAGCCGGCCAGCATGGGGCCAGAGGAGAATGGATAGTGCTACAGGCCCAGGTTGGGAGGACACGGGTCAGCTTGCCATTGGTCAGGCGCACAGCGTGTCTGTGCCGAGATGGCCGTCCACCTGCAGCAAGGGCAGAGTGGACGGTGCTGACGGGACCCTGGGAGTGGGTGGAGGACCAATCTACACGGTGTTTACAGCTGGAGTCTGGGCTCACAAGTGAGTGACGGCCTCTTCCTCCAGGTGAGAATCAGGCAGCTTCTCGGTGGTACCATGGGTGGCAACAGCCCACTCACCCCAGGCCCACCCCTATCATCATTTCCTGTGGCAGTAAGAGAAGAGGGGTGTGGGGGCACAGAGCTGGGGGCAGGACGCTCCCCGTGCCCATGGAACACAGACCCCCACACTCCACGGTCCCAGGGCCTCATCTTTTCAAGACCAGGCAGGTGGGAGATGTAGGACTGGTGGCGAATGCGGAGGGGGAAGCTTGTGGGAGGAGGGTGGGAGTGTTAGAAGGTGGTGTTCACTCGTGGGTCGAGTTGGACCACTTTCAGTGTCTCATTCGCCTCCAGTTTAGAGCTGACCCTGTGAAGTGGAGAAAGAAGGAGGGGGTTACCCTCTCCCAGAACACCATCCTTCTAGGACTGCACTCTGCACGGCTCACCTGCCCTTTCCCTTCCCCTCCCACCCTCAATCCTCTGTTCCCAAAGTCTCCCCTACTGGCCTATCGGATCACCCAATGGGAGAAGTTCCAACCCAGAGGATTAATGAGGGTGCCTGGACACAGATCTGCTACACGTGGCTCTGAAGAACTGTGTTAACTGGAGATACATAGTCCTTTGCGAGACTCCGGGAAGACAGTAAACAAAAAGATACAGTCTGATCCCTAGTGACCCCAAAAAAGGTACAATAACAATAAATATCTCCACAGAAAATCAACCAAACCACACACAACTACAAGTGTGCGTGCGACTGGCCCACGGGACACCTCCCTGTCCATAGTAACAATACCTAGTACTAGTCTAAGCCTTCTGTTTCCATCCCCATCCCTACACCCCGTATCTGCAGGAACAACACACAATAGGAGTCAGATACTAGTTCCGATATGGCAACAAGTGGTTGCCCAATGCTCTCAAATGGTTTCCCCACAACATAACTGTGCCACTGTGATGAACATACATGGTCACCTGCACACCAGGTACAAAGCCACATGGTGACACATGGCTGTCAAGTTGCCTGTGACCCTTGGCGCCCCCAAGTGTGCAGCACAGAACCACTACACAGGGTTTGCAGGCTGGGACCTGCCTTCCGACTTGTTTCTGTGTGGGGTGTGGGTGTGGGTGTAAACTGCCACCCTTCTGGCTAGCTGGTGAGTGCTTAGATGTTTGTGCAAACCCCCAGCCCCATCGGTAACATGAGAACGCTTTAGTTGGAGGGGAGTCTAAACCCGGGTCTTGGGGCTTGGTGTGCACAGAAGTCCATGGCTGTTTGCTGGCGTGGCTTTGAGGGAAGGGTGAAAGCGGGAGGGGGGCGGGTAGTACAGTCCCTGGGGTTACCACTGCCAGCTCCTTGTACATGCAGCAGACACAGGGGACTTCAAGTGGGGTCAAGCTCCTGGAAACAGCAGGGCCAGGCGGGGGGCACCGGGTGGGTGGGGCTGGGGGACACTCACAGATGCTGCTGAAGCCGTAGCAGCATGGCTTTCTCCAGGCTGGTCTCATTGGACAGGATGAACGGGGGAAGGTCCACATCTGGCCTGGACTCCACCCCCGAGGTTCGGAGCAGGGAGGGGCCCCTGTCCCAGCTGCCCAGCTCCCCCGGCGGGGCCACACCGGATGGTTCATCCAGAGGGGTGTGCTCCTCGTAGATCAGCAGGTTCCTGGACCTCACTGGGGGTAGAGCAGAGGACATGCTGAGCCTGCTGCCCCCGGACACCACTGCCTTCACTCTCAGGTGTCCTGGGGCCGAGGATGAAGGTGCCAACTGGAGGTGGTTTTTCATAAAGAACTCTGTGACTTAGAAATGCATACCAAGTTTACAGCGCTGGCCGAACAACCTCGAAGTGAAGTCCCACCCACAGCTGTCTAGAGGAACAGCTCTTGCAGAATGGGAGCCTGACCCTGGGAGACACCCAGACCCAGTTCCAATAAGCAGCACCCCAGTGAGGTGGGTCCCCTACAGGGACACGGGATGAAACCTGGAGCGAAAACACAAGGGCAAAGCCATAGGACAGACATGGTCCCATTCGCCCGCCTGATGGCTGTGTGGCTGATGGCTTTGCAGAAGCGTTCCCATGGGCTCCCACATAAATGTAAACACAGTCTCTTGTGTTTGGGGGGGGAGGGGGAGAGGGGTTCCTAACCGGCACCTGGAACTATTGTTTTGGAAGGCTCCCTGTCAGGTACCTGGCAGGAATCCACCTGCTGGAGAAATTAGACCTTTATAGGCTGCAAAATTGTCCTGACTTCCAATCCACCACCTGGCAATTCTCTGACGTCTAAGCCTCACTCATCACCTTCACTTCATACAGGTTTAAAAGAGATCGTAAACCCAGGTGAACATATCACACGTTTCCAATCGAACACCTGAATCTTCAGGTGAGAGTGCTATCTGCTTCCAATCGAACACCTGAATCTTCAGGTGAGAGTGCTATCTGCTTCCAATCGAACACCTGAATATCCAATCTCTCTGAACCTTGGGCATAATACTTTTTAAGATACATTGATTCTTTCTTTTCAGAAACGCTCACTATGGTAACATACAACCCCACTAAGAGGGGGCGGGAACACGAGAGCTCTCTTAAAATAGCATTCTGATTTTACTGCCTCCATATCCCACCCCCGAAAATTCACATCCCTCCCCCTCATCAGAACTCATCAAGGAGAGGTCGTCATTTTTCAGGTAACACGGTTAAGATTAGCCGTTTGCAAACTTCTCTGATAAGCTCTAGAATTTTCTTAGCGCACCTCTGCCCAGTGGGTGAGGGAGGCCCAGCAGCCTGGAGCCAGAAGCCCCCTCCCCTCACCCCCTCCCTCCCACATGGCAATTGCCACAGTGGACTTTCTCATGAGATCCCTTCAGAAAGCCCCGGCCGCACTGACCAGAAGCATCCACCCAAGGGCCTGCTTACCCACAGAGGCTGTGTAGGGCTCTGGCCTCGAGTGCTGGCTGGACAAGGCCAGCTTGGTGGCAGACGGGTAGGGTCCGGCGCCCTGGAAGAGGCTGCCAAACGCCACAGCAAAGCAGAGTACAACCACCTGGACAGGAAGGACGACAGCATTTGAGTTGGGACCCTACAGGACTCATCTTCCCCGGCGGCGCCTGGGAGACTCACCATGAGGCAGGTGCCGGTCTGTGTGCCAGCTAACTTGCAGGTCCGGGAAACCTTGCCCACCACCAGGGTCTGTAACTTCTGCAGCTGCTGCAGGAGAGTTCTGCAGAGGCAACAAAGACACACCATGAAGAGGTCTCTGGAGGCACACACGCAGCTGGTGACCCAAAGGTCACCTAGCAGCACCGCGGAAGAAACGGCTGGCAATCCACTTCTGGCAATATCACAGCCAAGAAAACCCCGTGAGCAGTAACAGTCAACACAACAAACCAACTACAAAAGTCATGGATTCACGGTGTCGGCCTAGCTCGCTCGGGAGATTCAGGAAGAGCAGCTGCCACCGGGGGCTTTGTGCCTGGCTGTGGACAGAAAGGACCGTGTAGGGCAGCCCCTGATGGAAGCAGGACAGCCAGGTCTGGTGGCACAGTAGGTTAAGTGTTGGGCTGCTGACCAGAAGGTCGGAGGTTTGAACCCACCAGCTGTTGCATAAAAGAAAGACAAGGTAATTTACCCCCAGGAAGGTGCGCAGCCTCTGAAACCCTGTGGAGCCGTTCCACTCTGTTCAACGAGGTTGCAGTGAGCCGCAATCAACTCAACGGAGGTGCGTGTGGTTGGGTTGGGTTTTGATTTCTAACAGTCAATAATCCTGCTCTGTAAGATGAGCCAACATGGAGTTGAAAACAGGTTCTCAGATGGAATTTTTGGTGGAACCCATCAGGGATCCCTACTGTTCCTCCTTAGCTAGTAAGGATGGCCTGAGGACCCTCTGAGGACCCCCAATGTTAGGCTATTCCCCTACCCCCACAGTCTAAACAGACTGCTAGGATCCTGTAGTGTTTGTGACATTCAACTGTGTGCCTACAACAAAGCCACTAAGAAAACAGCAACTTAGCGTCCACTAATGGAGTCCTGGTGTGGTGCTGTGGGCTAATGCGTCAGACTGCAAAGTCATTGGAACTGCAAGATGGGTGGTTCAAGCTCACCAGCTGCTCCTTGGAAACCCTATACAGAGTCCCTATGGGTTGGAATTGACTTGATGGCACTTAACAACAACAACAGTGGAGTTCCAAGCACTTCAAAACTGAGATACAAAATAACTTCTCCAAGTCAAGGGAGCTGAGAGAAGAAGACCACGGTCGTCAAGCTAAAGCTGCCAGATGCCACTGCTCAGTGACCAACATGACCCGGCATGAGTCCAGGGATGTTCACACCAGATTCACAACAGCCCATTCAGAAGAGCTGAGCACCGTTCCAGATGACAAATGTGACTATTTAATGGACCAGAGAGCTGAGGATGGGGGAGCCACACGGGAAATTCGGGCACCAGCCTCACAGGTCAATGACAAAGGGACGCAGTTCACAAATGGCAGTGAGAATCCCTAATCACGGCGACCCCATACATAGCAGCAAGAGACACTGCTGATCTGCACCATCCTCACAATCTGCAAACACCAGAGACGACTGCAGGTGATTAACAGACAAATCAAGAGGCTTGCTGCTCCACCGGGACTGGAAGCATGGGAATGTGCGATCGCTGGTCATGAAAGGTGCTTCCAGTTGCTGAGTGGGTGAGCAGGTGCAGACCCTGGGGCAGGAAGCAGGCTCTGGAGATAGACAGACCGGTCTAGACCCCAACACCACTGTTGTATGTCCGCCACCCTTGGGCCCCAGGCTCAACTTTCACCATCCTCACTCATTAGATTCTTAGAATCATTCCGAAAATTAAATAAGATAATGCATTTACATAATACCTAGCATGATGCTTTAACAGCCAGGAGACAAGGTAGGTCAGTGTCTGCAAGTCAGACACTGTAGGTCAGTGGCGAAGTTCTCATCTTCCATGTGGGAACCCAGGGTTCAATTCCTGGCCAGGGCACCTAATGCCGAGCCCCACTAGCTGTCCATCAGTGGAAACCTGCATGTTGCTGTGAGGCTGAAAAGGTTTCACTGGAGCTTCTAGAGAGACTAAGAAGAAAGGCCTGGTGATCTACTGCCAAAAACTCAATCAATTACAACCTATGGTCTGATCCACAACTGGTCATGGAGATAGTGCAGGAGCGGGCAGCATGCTGTCCCACTGGGCAGGGGGTCAGTGTGAGTCAATGACCAATTTGACAGCAGCTGAAGATAACCAGTAGCTAATGAGTTAATTCCCTGGATCTTGGAAGCTGTCAGAGTAAACCTAAGCAAATTCACCACCCCCAGGGTGCCAGCTGGTGGCCTCCTAACTCAGATGAATGTCAGCACGAGCTCATGTGGGACCATCTCTGGTGTCTCTGGGGCGATTGCTGACCTGCCCGCACTGCTGGGAGCCAGGTGGATAGCTCAGCCGGCCAGAGAAGAGAAGAGGCAGCCACGTACAATACCGAGAATGCTTTGTCAACAGGCCTCCTCAAAGATAGGTGTGGGGGCAACCCCAGCCGTGCATCCAAAGCTCCTCAGAACCATCTGCTATGCAAGACTGAAAGGGCAGCATTGATTCCAAATCAAAGCTCAGAAGGCAAGAAAGAAGGGCGCAGGGAACTGGGACCCAGGGAGGAAGTGGGGAGACTGTGGTTACAGTGGGCAGATTACAACCAATGTCAACAAACAAAAGAGGTCTAGGGCGTTAAATGTGCTTTGTAAACTTTCACCCAAACTATAACGAAAAAGAAAACAAACATATAAACTAAAAACTCAGTATAAACTTCTCCTTCACTGCTGCATCTGAAGTCATCTGTCATCACAACTAATTTGGGCTTCTGGGTCCCCAGGCTTCCAGGGACTTGTTGTTTGGAGCCACACAGTCAGTTCCCTGGATAGGGTTTCTAAGACTGTAAATCTTTGCAGAAGCAGAAAGCCTCATCATTCTCTTGTGGAGTGGCTGGTGAGCTCGAACTGCTGACCTTGTGGTTTGCAGTCCAGTGCTTATCCTAAAGAGCCACCATGTCCCCCCAACCCCCCACATACATGCATACATATATACACACAAGTACATATATAGGAGAGGGCTTTTAAACGTTTGTGAAACAGCATGGATGACCCCAGAGGACATTAAACTGAGTGAAATTAGTCAATCCCAAAACAAATACTGTATGAGACCACTGTTAGGCAAAGTTAAGATTTTCTTACTAAATGTAACATTCTACGATGGCTACAGGAGGGAGGGATGAGGCAAACATAGTCTCAAGCTCAAACCAGGCGTCCCCATATGTATTTTATAATAACACACACCACACTAAATAGTTGTGACAGTTATTTAAAAAGATAAAAACAGTTGGCAAAACACGGACTCCGCTGCACTGCATGCCAGTATTCCTCAGATGCTATAGCTCATTAACCAAAGCTGACAGAGCTAAGTTTACTGATAGAAACTAGGTCCAGTATATTCTGTTCAGTGGGAAAGCTCACAACGAAAAAGCATCGACAGTATAAATAGTAAAACTCTCAAAAAAAATCAAACCAGTTGTTGTCTCTGACTCATGGTGCCCCCGTGTGTGTCAGAGTGGAACTGAATTCCACACAGGGTTCTCAGTGGATGATTTTTCATAAGTAGATCCCACTCATGGTGCCCTGTGTGTGTTAGAGTAGAACTGTGCCCACAGGGTTCTCAGTGGATGATTTTTAATAAGTAGACCCCACTCATGGTGCCCCTATGTGTGTCACAGTAGAACTGTGCTCCACAGGGTTCTCAGTGGATGATTTTTCATAAGTAGATCCCACTCATGGTGCCCTGTGTGTGTTAGAGTAGAACTGTGCCCACAGGATTCTCAGTGGATGATTTTTCATAAGTAGACCCCACTCATGGTGCCCCC